ACGTCGGAGAGAACATGCTATACATCGCGGTTTCATGCAAATCCGGAAGAGAGAGTATGTATCTCGCATCGCGTCGCTTCATCAAAAATAACGGCGACGTTTCTGCCGACAATAATCGTTGTTCCAGTTTGCATAACGCGCGAGGGGCGGAGGAGCTAAGGTGCGCGATAAGGTCGGCTAAGTAGAATGCATAACCGACGGCGGCGACGTCGTCTCGCAAGACGTCGTGGGAAGAGAAGTAATAGCCGCGCAAACACGATTATGCAAAATCTTTCCTATAAATGATGCGAAACGGAACATGTCACCCGGGTAATTTCGCGTGTCGATCGATAAACAAAAAAAAACAAACACACAGCGGCGGGTAGAAAGGGAGAAGAGACGAAGTAAGAAAAACCGGAGCGAATTACGTAAGGTCGCGACACGTACTTGAATCCAGGTGTAACATCTGCCTTCAAGGCTCGCTTTTGTGTGTACCGGTAATTTCGCAGCCGCGCGAGTTATGATGCACTTGTGCCGCGACAGCGCTCTCGTTCGCGCAATCGCGTTCCTCGAAATGGAATATTTAATTGCGTGCGTGTACAACGCGGACGACGAATTGCATCAGACGTTCGAAACCGGCTCGATTGAATCATCACACGAAATATCCCGGTGTCCGAATTTCGATCGAGCTAATGCGAGATAGATCTAAGGGGTAAAAACAACAACAAAGACAGACACAACAGAATGTCGCTGCCAAAAAACTGGACTGGATTAAAAAAAAAAAAAAAACTATTAAATACATTGATGTCCCAAATAAAATAGGTTGAATAATAATATGGCGGGCGAGATGCGACAGGATTGTGGGAGAGAGACAACGAAGCTCGACACGCGTAACTTGATCGAGTGCGTTTGGACTTAAAGAAAAGGAGAGAGAGAGAGAGAGAGAGACGGCGGTGAGAGGCCGCGAAAGGAAAAAGACGCCTAATATGACAGGCAGGGCTGCTATTTTAAGACGTTCGCGACCGGTTTGTGCGAACACACAAGTTACAAAGACGCTAAGCCTGTATCCCCCCGTTTGGAGCGGGAGTCGTCGTCTTGTGTGACGATGAGCGAGAGAAGTTTTCGGATCGCGCGCGTCACGCTCCAGGTTCCAGCCGCGAGCAAGAAACGAACGCGAAGAGAAAGAGAAACGCGCGGCGCGATCGATCGAAGAAACTAAACCGTTCCTTTGTTTCCGACTGCAAAAGTTAATATTCTCGATTCCGCGAATTATCCTCGCTCAGATTACGACAAATCCCCCGGTGATTATATACACAAATCACGTGATTGATTTTCCACGTTTTTTCAACACACATTTGTCAAGTTAAGAAACACGCGAGCATCGATTGTTGAAGATAAAAAAAAAAAAAAAAAAACTAGAAAGAGAAACGATAAATTTCACGAAGAATCGAAGCAATTATTCTTTCAGATGTAAATGTCATTGATGACTAGATTTATCGAAACAAACGTGACGAAAATTATCAATATTACGTCAATTAAATAACATCGATATCAAACAGTGTCAATAACACATCGAGTGCTGACAATTACCCGAGCTGTGTGTGTGTGTGTGTGTGTGATAATGCACGATTTAGAGATGATATAATGTTTCCGGTGTTGCGGATGCGCGCGGAGTCAAGGAAAACCACAAATCAGCGCGCTGTTTGACAAAATAAATTATTCATGGTCTTCAGGGAGTCAAAAAATCACGGAGTCACGGTCATTTGTCAATTTAGCTTGTATTGTCGTTCTGAAAAAAACTTTAATCTTTAAACAAACAGAGATTTGCACTTGTCACTTCTTTTCTCGCGATGTGAGAATAAACTAATTCGCGGCGTGTTCGAATTCGACTAGTCGTCGAATAAAATTGAATTTTATTAAATTGAAGAAATAGGACTTGTATGAATATATACATATAAGACTCTTATTTATCCTGAAGGATTAATTAATTTAATTAACTCGATTGTGTTGCTCTGTAACCAAAGAAACGACAATTAAAGTTTATAATTTCTATAACGACAATATAATTTTACAACGACAAAAAGCCTCTCAAATTCCAACTGTCACACGTGTCAGCGGTTATCCAGCTGTCTCTTTTTGTTCTACCGTTCGAAGCGTTCTTATTTTATCTACTCGTGTACGCAAGAGTATTTAAGTAAGGAAATATATTTTCTTTACATACATATATATGTCTCTTACCCATTTAATCTTCCATGATAAATGAAATTTTTTAAATACCGAAAAAGACACCAGAAGCCAAGAATTGACCTCGCATTCCATATGCGGTCGTCTTCCCTAATTCGGTCGTCGAGTCGTCACTAGATGAATGTCTCGCAATATTAGAATATGATTTAAAATAATCGCGATGCAAGGTAGCATATGAATTTTAAAATTGTTGCTCAATTCGAATTTTTATGTATAGTAATTTACACGTTAAATCCTTCGCGGACAGACATGGATCTCCCAGACCCGCTCCAAAATTGCGCATCGGCGTCTCTAGTAAACATTAGGTTTTTTCTTATATCTTCGAAACTACTAGAAATTTTTCCAATTCATTCCTTTTGATCGACGACGAATTGTTCAAACTTCCGATTAAAAAAAAAAAACAAAAAAAAACTTGAAAAAATTTATTCTTCGCGGAGATATTCGATTTTAAAATCGCGCGGATCTCATAGATCTAGTCTGTCCAATGAGGATGTCATTTTTGAGAGGCCCGCAAAAGATTAAACATTTATTTTGCACGTATACACATCCAACAATTTGGCTTTCAAAGTTCCATTTCTTTTTAATTCAAGTTTGCCGAAGCGCCGTAGCAAAACGGAATCTATATTTTTTTTGGACTTGCGTAACGTACTCGGGAAATCAATTACGCGTATGAGGTTTTGCGTAACGCAATTAAAATCGAAACTTTCTATACGTTTGATCATCCGCGAGCGCGTCGTCGTCCATCGGAACACGCGCTTCCGCTTTCCGCGGCGGGATGGATTTCATGACGAATTGCGAAGAAGGCAAACCCCGGCGTCGTGATGAACTTCCGCGAATCGCGATCTAGAGAAATCGCGAAATCGCGTACATAACGTCTGAACACGCCGCGAGAAACTTTCGTGATATTTTCTCGAGACGCAACACTTTGTTCTTGCGCGCGAGTGTTCTTTATGGCGCGCGTCGAAAATTCCATTTTCCTCTCTCGTGACAAAATAAGTAGTGTCGCGTTTTACTTAAAGTCGGGATTCGCGACTATAAAAAACAGGATGGAACTTAATCCCGATCTAAATCGGGATATCGCTCCCCCTCCCTCTCCCTTTCTCGCGGGGTGATTCTTATTTGTTTGTTTGTTTGTTTTTTTCATCCTCCTCCTCCCCTCCCGTTTAATCTCACCGCGTGCGCGTTTCAAACTCGCCCGCAGTGTTTCCATCAATAGTATTTTTTTCGCTCCAAAATGCAGAACAAACAGGTTCCTCGACCGGGGAGAAGTGATGCCTCGAAAAAAAATCGTGTTTAAACATTTGTGCGTAAATATCCAAAGTTTCGAAAAGTTTCAATTGCGCGCGTGTTCGGAGAACGAAAAAAAAAAAAAAAAATTCAAGCAAACTTCGAAACTTCCGGTTCTGTATCGCTGTTTTTTATTAAACTCCGAAATCTCGTGCGCGCGGTTTCCGAGTCGCCTCGCGCGCGCGACCGCGATATTCGGATTTTTTATTTCCACAAAATACTGTTAGTCGCCGTTATCTGAGGCGAGATACACAGTGTGTCGTCTCGTCTGGTAGACGACGACGACGAAGACAACAACAACGACGACGAAGAAGACGTGTTCGAATTGTGATTAATTTCATCCGCCGCGTCCTCAAATATTTTACGTAAACGGTAAATTTGCTTGCGTTCCACAAGTGTATTTTTTCGTCAAAAAAAACAAATCAAGAACGATTTGCGCGCCGATGCGCGATAAAAGATTGATGACGCCCGAGACACACCGTCGTCGTGTCTTGTAAAAATTATTTACACATCGACGCGATATAATTCTCCCGTCGACGATTATTATTAAAATCAGAAATAAAGAAATGTGATGTTTCATTCGCCTTGCGCATAGCAAACGACGGCAATAATCGAAGTTTTATTCGACACGGTATATATATCTTTCAAAATTACACCACGTGGAAGTTTGATCGGAGTCGCGCGCAAGAAATGCGATTTTCGTCGAGTTAAGCGACACGTTTATCGGAGATAAATTCGACTTTCAGATTGCATTGTTTATCTTAATTGTCACTTTTGCCGGGGACCGGCCCGAGTGCGAATGTAATCGGCGCGCGAAAGTCGGCGCATTTGAACGGTAATATATTCGCGGAAATTATCGCGTCTCTCTCGTATCTCGATCGCTCGAATATGTTTTCGAAATATCGTTTGCTTGCTAATTTTACCGCATTAAGTGTTTCTCGGCGAGTTTTTTTTTTTGTTCGTTTTAAGGTTTTTATACACACACACACACGACAAATCGATCGTTTAACGAGCGCGAATCGCGATCGAGAGGCGAGTAAATCATTCGTTTTGCAATTTATACTCGTGAAATTTATTCGCCGGCTACAAAACCGCGTGAAATACGCGAAAACCGAATTACGCAGCAGCAAAAAAAGTTGTTGCGCGACCCGCGCACGTCTGGCGAATATATTTTTGTCTTATCATGTGAAGCTAGCAAGGATGTATATGTTAAATGTTAAAAATAGTATTCACATGACGCGTGATTTGCATACGTAAATATATATTCGTTTCCTTCTAGTTTGAACGGGATTCTGACGAGAATTTCTTACCTCTTGGTTTTTTCCAAAAATCTCTCTCTCACACGCACACAGACCGAACATTCGGAATTTCCGTGAGTGTTCTTGAACAAACGAGTACGTGAGCGTTTGGTAAACACCGAGGACTCGCGCGTCCTTCGCGATGAGTTTCTCATCGGGGGGGACGGGGGGGGGGGAAGTCGCGATAAATACCTGGCGACCGAGTCGGGCACGAGGATGTTCCACCAGGACGGCCTCTTCTGGCGGACGTAGTTCTGCGGGAAGAGTCCCTCCGTGCTTCCGGTCTGGGCGGGCGGAATTCCCGATATGCCCTTCTTCCGCTTGCGGTCCAGCTTGGGCGGTTTCGCGAGCGGATGCCATGACTTCCGGCGTCCTTTCTTGGCCGCTTCCTGAGCCGCGCGCGCAGCCTCGTTTTCCAGAACGTCCTGATTCTCTTCTAGCAGGTCATCGGACACGTAGAACACCGATCCTCTTCTACCGTTGTTGCTGTCGCTGCCCCTCCTCTTGTCCTTCGGCTTGTCCTTCACGCCGTTATTGTCCTTGGCGTTATTGCTCTTAGCGCTGTCCTTCGCGCTGCTTTCCTTCTTCTCGAACAAGCTGGCGCGACGAGCTCTCTGGAATAGACTGTCCTGCCGCGCCTTCAGATCCTCCAGAACGCTGTGCCGGCGGCTTTTGTCGCGCAGAATCGCCGCGTTCTCGCGCTGCTTGGATCCGATGCCGAGGATCCTCGCAAGCGACGACTCCTGCTCCATCATCGCCGGGATCGAGTTGGTCGACGCGAACTTCGTGGTCGTATGACCGTTCTGCGGCTCGCTGCTGATGTACATCTTGGCTGTTTCCATGCTACCTTGAAAAATGGTTTCTGCGACTTCGTCGTCGTCCTTGTTTGACGAGCTTTTTTCGTGCGTCTTCACGATCGCAACGTACTGCGCATCGCAAAGCACGCCGTGTTCCGGGAAGGAAGCCTATCTCGTATCGAGATCACTCAAAGGGTTATAAAGCTAGCTCCGCGATTAAGTATTTACTTGTCTATACACGGCGGGGAATATATGATCGTCCCGGTTCTCCACAACCTTACCAAAGAGGTACGCGCGGACTTAAGGTCCGAGTTAAACAATCGGACGGATACTACGTATAATACCACTCGCTCTTTATTTTTCGCCGAGTCAACAATCTCGTGCCGAAAACAAAATCATCGTCAACTCACTTATCAATCGTCGAACGAGACGTCTCGCGCGATAGCGCGTTTTCCGCACTGCTTCAATCTCAAATATATAGATACAGAGGTCGTCGAGGTTCACACTTTATTTTCGCAGATTAAAGATAATATGTACGTGCTGCGTTGCGTTCCGCTGGATTTCGAATACGACTCTGTCGGGCAAATCCAGTCGGACGGATCCTCGCCGTTGTTGATTGTGTGCGCTGTCGAAGGTTAGGTACGCTGCGCGCTGTGTTCGCGAATTCCAAAGGGAAATAAGCTCCTGCCTATAAGCTGTCGATTCACAGTGACGTGTATACCGGGTGGTCCAATTGGGGATTACACGGAATCCGAGTATGCGTATCGATGATGGATGATAGAACGCGTCGTAAGACAACGAGGAGAGGAGAATGTGTAAACTTGGATTATCGTCGACCAGTGACCGTCATTTTTCACTCCGAGAGAGGAGAAGGCGCGCGCGCGCGCGACGAAGCGTTAAAGCGCGCGATCGACGGCATTATTCCAGCGGCGCGGTGAAAGCAGCCAAGCGGTCGACCGCCTTTTCACTCCCGACGCCCTGGCGGTGGCGGCGGCAGCGACGCCGACGACGACGACGACGACCACGACGACGACGGACGACGACGCGGTCACTCTCGTGAAACCACGCGCTGCCACGTTACATACGTGTCCCCGGATACGCCCGTGTGCGCGCACGTTCTCGGAGAGAATCTACGCGCGATCGTTGACCTATAGCGCGATACAGACCGACCACACAGTCTTCTATCTTTATTTATTTCTATCTCACCCGACCCAGCTTTGTTGTTTCTATCAACAATATAAATTCGAAAAACAAAAGTCACATCGAACTTTCTCGAATCGAACTTCTGCGAACTCTCGCTTTTTGCGGGGAGATGGATTGTTGCAATATATATATATGTATATATATATATATATGTCGACTTTTACCTCGTCAACCCTCGCCTGCCGAGGGCAGTAGGGACGAGACTCCGCTCGTTTCCGGCATCACATCCGGCGCGACGAAAAAGACTCGGAAAAGATTCGGCTCTCTCGGAAAGGAGAGAAGCGGTTCGGAAGAAGAGTCGATTCTCCCGGAAGTAGTTCCTTCCGGAATCCGTTTTCTTCCGCGATTATATACACAGGTGTGCGTCCTAGTCTCGGACCCTCGAATTCCAGGACAAACGGGTTGTGTGTGAAAAAAAAAAAAAAAAACAAATAGAACAGAGAAAGACGAAACGCGCACACGGCTTTTCCTCGGCGTCCTATTTTTTTTTCTCTTTCTCCTCCTCGATTCGCTCTCGTTATCGAACACGCACGCGGGGGAGGGGGCCACGCACACACGCGTGTACTCGCCTCGCAAAGGCACTCTCGAGAGAAAGAGAGGCTTACGCTCGCACGTAATACAACACACTGGGTGAGCGTCGGACGGGGCTCCCGGAGCTCGATCGACGGCCGTCACGTGGATCGGGTATCGCAGCGACTAAGCGCGAACCAACGCGACCGCTTGTATTTATACAGCCAGGCTCGAGATTGTGTCTCTCACTCTTTCGCGACGCATCCCCCACCTCAGAAAGCATGCACACGAACGAGATGGTACGACAAGAGATGGAGAGAGAGAGAGAGAGAAAGATTCTCTTCGGATCTTGAAAAAGTCCAGGGCTCGCGCAATCTCGCCCGTGTTTGTATTGAAAACTCTCCGATCGTTTCGGGCGCGCGCAAAAATGTAAAAATTTTTGAAAACGTTCTTCGAGCGCGCGTCCTGCACGTCGTGTTTTTTCCCGAGCGTTTGAAACGCTCGAATTTTATTAATACAATCAGAGGTTTTTATGTATCTCGAATGCGAAGTTCGCGACTACTCTGCATTGATTTAAATTTGGAAATTTTACGACAACATTTATATCCGCCATAACCGCGAGTTATGCGGATAATTGAATAAATGGCGAACAGTGAGAAAAAAAAAGAAACGTGTCTCCGCCGGCCCGCCCGTTTGCTTGTAATTTTTATTCACACGCTGCGCAGAAATAAAAGAAAATCACATCGTAACTTCGAAATGAAGTAATCTTGTAATATAAATGTCGAGTTCTCGGAACAAAATTACTCGCAATAAATTACTCCAACGTATCTTTGGAAACTTTTACTTCTTTCTTCTCACTTGATAATTCTCCGTTATTGTTGTATCTTTTTTTTTTTTTTGTTTTTGTTTTCTCTTCTTTTTCCGCGCGACAATGTCACACTCCGTGTGTATCGAGAAAGGTATCGAAATCGTGACGCAAAAAAAGTTTTTGTCTTAACCAGATAATAATCTACAATCGAGTAGATCAATCCGATAATCCTTTCTTCCTCCTCCTCCTCCTCCTCCTCCCCCCCGAACAACAACGAAGAAGATAATAACGCCGATCAGCTGTGGTAACGAGTTATCGATAATTTAATTAAAATCATTGTGTTGTCGCGCGGAAAATATCATAGTCGCGATTGTCACGCGGAACGATGAAGCGGCGAAAAACAAGCTTATTGCATCATGTGCTATGTATTTTTGTAACACGCTCACAAAAAACACTCGACACGTGGAAATCGACGAGATGCGCGAGAAGACGAGATTAATTTCGGATCGAAAGTCTGACGAACAAACGAACACGCGTATCGGATGGAATAAATAACAGCCGTAATATCGTACGCTAATATTTCATACGGCAGTTACAACATTCTGACACGTGCTGTCATCACATGTCGCAGCACGCGATAAGACATCGCGAAGCTGATAATACGATAACGCGAAGGATTATCGGCGTGCACGAGCAGATAAACAACAATACGCTCCCCCGTATCATGGCTGGGAAAAGAAATCGCGATCCGCAGGTGAGAGACAAAAGTCGCGCGAATGACGCGTTCGTTAACCACGACTCTCGCGAATCTTAATAACGATCGGCGCGGGGGGGGGGGGAGATAGAGGAGGGAAGGAGAAGATTAAACGAGAAGATGGGAAGATGCGAGATTCCGAGAATCGCGCGATCAAATAATCGTTCGAGTGTCTTCGATACCGCGAACATCGCGCTCTCGAGTGCAATTCGCTCCACAAATTGATTAAACAATTCGCGATATCAACAACGGGGGAGGGGGAGGGAAGGCGACGACGACGGTTCGATTCGCGGCCGAAGTACTTTTCCTCGAACGAGACCGGGTCCGTGCATCTCGGGGCGTATCGAAGTGATCTTGACCCGCTTCTCTCCGAACCGAGAAGAACGACCACGTCGGTCTTGTTTATTCGACGTTTTCTTGAATTTATTCGGAGCGGCTCGCGATCGTTTTCTCAGTCGGGGCGTAACTCACCGCGTATGTATCCAACGCGGTTGTATCCAAAGCGTCAAGCAATTTTATTACCTCGTTGCTGGAAGAAAAAAAAATCGCAAAACCTCGAGAGAAATTAAGAATGAACGCGGTGAGACAGTTCGACCAATTTTACAGTCTAATTATTCGATGTGTATCGCGTCCTTGATAAAAAAAGAAAAAAACAAAAACAAAAAAAAAACAAAAATGAAACCTCCGCTTCTTTATCTCTCATCTCGCGCAAGAATTGAATTAAACGGAGTGAGAAAGAAGAACGCGGTTAGGTGGGAATTGTTTTTCGCTGTACTAATTAAAAAAAAAACAAACAAACAAAAAACCTCGACGTAGCTTTTTTGACGTATATCGGTCAGAGAGAAACTTTCAGAACCGAACGTCAACTTTTCCATTACCGCGTCAGAATGTCCCTCCTCGAAAAAGCAGCACGCAAACAGACACCTTGCCGAAAGTCGCCCGGGTCTCGATATTGCCTCCTTCCTCTCGTTTTATATATATATACAATATATCGAATATCTATCGCTCGAGTTTTAATTGCGGTCCGTCGTCGTCAAGAAGAAAAAAAGAAAAAAAAGAACAGACAGAAAACGCGAAAGAAACTTTATTAATCAACCGCATTTCGGCGGGCCCCGAGCGTAATTCGCGAGTTTATATATCTCGCGTCGCTCCGAAGAGATGTACTCGCGCGAAGAACTCGCCCTCGTTTCAAGCGGGACCAGTCCAGCGTAAAAGAGAGCGAATTGTTTGCCGCAGAAATTCTCTCGACGAGCAAAACGAACGTGTGTTCCTACGTAGGGCCGTGGCTGCTCCCTAATTGGCTGAATCGAATTAAGAGTCCGGCCCGGTACTTTTATCGTCGCCAATTTCGTAATTGGACACGCGGCAGAATTGACCAATTGTTTCCACTGTGTGCGCGCGCGCGCTCGTCGACGTTTCATCCATCGCTTTTTGCCATCTCTCGCGCGTTCGAGCGCCTTCGTTAGGAAGAGATGCGCGTGGCGGAAACGTCACCGGAAAAGCGCGCGCGAGAGAGCGATGTGTCTCCTCGTAACGACGACCTCGTAACTAGACAGCTGATCGCGCGTAGTGACATTCCCACGTCTCGACGATCGATCGAGCCGAGCGTGCGAGAGCGCCGCGAGTCGCGAAATTTTTCGAAATTTCCATCGGATTTGAAATTTTCTCGAAACAAGACAAAGGACTTCGTTTTTCTGACAACGATAAACGCTCGATTTTTCGTTTCCGGAAATTTGTTGTCGCATGATTTTCTGACTCGGAGCGTCTCTCGCAAAACTTCGCGACGAACGTGAGAAAATTCGAACGAGACGACAAATTACGCGACAAATAAAAAAAATTGTGTTTTTGATTTTATTGCGTTACATTATTTTCTATTACACAATTCTTGAGAACGCAAAAACATTTTTCAGAGCAGGTCGTAAAACTCGCCAGATATAAAACTTCTAATCGGCCCCGTTGTGTGAAAGACACACAAAAGCTGTTATCTTTGCTCAAACGCGCTCATTGAGAGAGACACGCGGAAAATTGCTTTACGATGACGGAATAATTTCACTGCGCGTCAGAGGTAAGTATGCCTCCTCCGTCATCCGAGAGCGTACGTCTCTTATCACGCGCGTGTGTGTGTGTGTGTATATATGGTTGTCATCGGCCTCACGTATCACGGGGGACAGGTTTACGACACGGCTACTGAAATCGCAAACGAGACTATCTGCTTCCATTCGAGACGCGATGGGAAAACGCGCGCTTCCTTTATATCGCGCGACGCGCATCGCGTTACGACATCGCATCGCGATGATGCGTCTTCGCGCCTTTGTCGAGATAAACAGAGATTTTTTCTTTTTTTTTATTGATTCTACGATACTATGACAACGAGATACTGTGACAATTGCTTTTTTCATCGCCAACGTGGTTACAAGAGAGTGAACTTTGTTTTCCAGCAAATCCGTTATCATATTTTTTTCTTTTTTTTTTGTTTTTGCCATATAAGCGACACATCTCACACGTAATAATTAAAATTAGTCGCGCGGTAAACGCACATCTGTCATTAAAGAGAGACGCAGTTAAAAATGATTCAGATGGCAATTTAGTTCATTTAATAAAACACTATAATTACCGCGTGAGTGTTATTCGCGCTCATTATGTTTCGCGG